GGGTTCGGGTTCGGGTTCGGGTTCGGGTTCGGGTTTAGGGTTAGGGTTAGGGTTAGGGTTAGGTTCAGGGTTAGGTTTAGGGTTAGGTTTAGAGCGTGCTTCTGTCGGCACGCTGTTGTCGGCGCACTTCTGCACATTTATCAGCGCGATTTCAAACTCACAGTTTTCTCGCCGCGGTTTCGTCGTCGCGCTTTTGTTGAGCGCGCATTTGTCGGTGAACCATCCCAAAGGTGCTTTTTTCAAGAGGCAACTGGACTTTCTTGTTTTTCTTTGAAGACATTTCACTTGTCTTCCAAGAAGCTTCTTCAGCTCTGGCTGGATGGTGGGGAATGGAAAGGTTTATATACCTTGCAGACAGCTGGTCATTTGAATCCTTTTAGAGAGTCATTGAGGCCACTTGGAGGTTTGTTTATGTCCTCAGGGTCACCTGAGTGGAGCAAATGGGTGTGCAGCCTTCTTGGAACTGCTGAAAGGACTGTTTTGTAGATTGGAGATAAGGTAAAGGTAAAGGTTCCCCTTGCACATATGTGCTAGTCGTTCCCGACTCTAGGGGGCAGTGCTCATCTCCATTTCAAAGCCAAAGAGCCAGTGCTGTCCAAAGATGTCTCCATGGTCATGTGGCCGGCATGACTAAATGCAGAAGGCACATGGAACACTGTTACCTTCCCACCAAAGGTGGTTCCTATTCTTCTACTTGCATTTTTACATGCTTTCGAACTGCTAGGTTGGCAGAAGCTGGGACAACTAATGGGAGCTCACTCCATTGCGCGGCATTAGGGATTCGAACTGCCAAACTGCCGACCTTTCTGATCGACAAGCTCAGAGTCTTAGCCAGTGAGCCACCCTTGTTCATTATGGGACTTTTTTTTTTGCTGGAAACAAAGTAAATGCCCATTTCCAGCAAAACAATAATTAATTGTGATCACGTGACTATAGGCTGCTACAGGCATAAATGTGGGCCAATTTCTGAATGCCCAAAATGCAGTCACAGAGGACTCCCCCCCACACAAGGGAGGGGGGAATGTGGGAACTTTGAAACTGAGTCTCAAGTAGCTTTGGGGGATCCATCGTAACTTTCATTTGTAAGTCTAGGGCTACCTGCACTGCCTTGAAGCATATGAACAATGAGAGCTATAAATTAATACGAAGGACACTGAGTGCCTTCACTGGTTGGGTATTTGCAAAACATGAAGTAACAGGTTGCTAACCTAGGCAAATACCTTACATTTTAACATAGGATGTGAGGGGCTGTTGCCCTACCTCAGCCCCCATGTTCTTTTCGGCTGACAATGAGAAAGAAAAGGAAAGGGATGATTAATGGTAAGGAGAAAACAGGTGGTAGTTAGAAGGAATGAAACGGAAAGAGTGAGGTGGCAGACAGTGGGTGGCATTAAAGGTGTAATGACAGGGAAAATAAGTCAGAAAATGATTGGCAGTGAAGGAATGTAGATATAACAGGTGATATATAAAACAATTTCAATTCAAATAACAGCAGATTTCTACTTGAAACAGGCTCACATCCAAAACTAAGCTATTTTAGACCATTCAAGATGCATCTTGAGCCCCAAAATAGGTCTGTTTAGAGTCTGACACGTTCCATTTTGAGCCTCAAACATTTCCAGGATGAGTGAGATGGGTTGTGATGCACATGAAACCAAATGTTGCAAACTTGAAACCAGCATTTTGAATTCAAAACGTTCCAAATATAAAAACTCCAGAGGTGACCTACTTTTTTTTTTCTTGGATCCTGTTTCACTCAGTCCTCACTCTTAGCCTTCTTCTTTAAAAGTTGTTTTTCCCCCCTGCCAAACTTACTTTCCATTTCAATGGAGGAAAGTAGGGCAGCTCTGAATGTCTCATAGTTGACCATTTTCCTCAACATCCAGAATGTTCATACATATTCCCAAACATAACATTACCCCAGCCATGTTGTGCCAAAAGATTTGTTACTGCTGCCACAAAATCTCTTAGTGTCATTATGCTATAATTGCTATATATTTGTAACTAGACTCTTAATGTGTGAAACAATATGAAACCTCATTACCCACTGCCTCTTACAAGCAAATATTTCTTCTCCTCTTCTGACTTTTAAAGCAATACGAAACAGTATCTAATTGCTCTGAATAATAGACATATTGTCTTAAAAAATAACAACACAGAAGGAAAGAAATGGTAATACTAACCCCTAATGACAAGAAAACGGTACTGGCACTGACTGCAAAGGATAACACAGCAGCCACAGAGCACACAATGAGATCTGATCTCAGGGTTTCTCTCTGCGAATATAATTTTTAAAATATAAAAATACAAGTAAGGACTCATTTGATTTACAAAATCAAACTACTTCTTCCTCTGCAGTTAACAGTTGCATAATAATTACAGGAGTCTTGGCATTAAAGAATCTTCTCCCCTTGTACTTCTTTAATGTTCAGGCAATGTGTTAGCAAAGCTTCTTGAATCCAGATAAATGGTTTATCTAGCACACACCGTCCACAACAACAATTTAAACAAAGGTAGCTATACAGGAACACTCTTTAGTGAACTCAGACTCGGAAGAATTGATTTCCATTTCAGACACAACCAAGATGTTGCCAATGGCCAGATAATTGCTATGACCTAGGGTTGTTGCAAGGCAGAAATGAAGGATGGCAAGATAGACGTGCGTTAATTCTTTGCAGGTGGGAAGAAAGCAGAGATGGGTTGCTCCCAGTTCAGCCCGGTTTGGCCAAACTGGTAGTGGTGATTTGGCCTGGATCGCAGAACCAGCAGTCCCCAAACTAGTTGCCTGGTCTCTTCTGCCATTGCCAGAATGTTTCTGCATAAGCGCAGAACAATTTTCAGTCAAATGAGCATGGGGAGGGGGGGCGCGACAGCAAAGTTAGCAGTGCGCAAGCAAAGCATGCACAGAGTGAACCTGTACCAACTGGTATAGGAACCCACCCCTGAAAGGAAGGAAGGAAGGAAGGAAACAGGTGCTGTTCATAATTTCTTATATTCTGAACTTTTTATATAAGCATGGATTGGGCTCCATGGTGTGGACACCTATTTTCCTTAGTGACTAAGGAGCAGACAGTTCTCAACAAAACAGTTTGAACAATAGCAACGTGATTATGCATTTGGCCACTGATCCTAAGCTTTCTACATAGCAAATGTCTCAAAAGCTGCTTTCTTGACTGGGAGGGGGGTGAAAGTGAGTTGTTGTCCCTCTTCAATACAAATAAAACTATCTGTCTGACACCTGTTTTCCAAAATTCCCTAATGAATCACCGATATCTCTGGAAGAACAACTCAGTGCAAGCAACGTAGAGGGAAAGAATTAATTTATCTTTGCTAGAACTGTATAACACTTTCAATTCAAAGCAAAAACGATGCTTCAAAGCTGTAGGCCAAGAAGCATAGTGCTAATCAACAATTCCTAGAACTATCTCTAATCCTTTCTCTCTCAGGTAAATGCTGAAAACTTTTCCCTTTAAACATGCCTAAGCTTACACTGGGGTGACTTCATAGGCATTTTTTGTATTGCAGTTGAATTTATTATTATTAATTCAGGCTGTTAAGCAATATGACAGGCACTTCAGTGGAATGATTAAGTGGCTGGACCCGGTACAGCAAAATCTGAATTGTAGTCCTGCCTTGGCCATGAAAGTCATCTGGCTGATTCTGAGGCTATCAGTCCTTTTCAAGCCAAGGGAGAAGGCAATGGCCAACCATTTCTGAAAATGCTGCCTAGAAAGTTGCAAGGGTTTACTCATGCAGTTGCTAGATGTCAATTCTGAGTCAAAGGTAAAAAAAAAAGTATGGTATACAGCTTTTGAGAGAAAAAAAGTAAATAGGAAGCATCTTAAAACAGCAAAAAATTCCAGTTACTTTTTATATAAGTTGGATTGAGGGTTGGGGGTGGGGGGAGAGGTAAAGCTGAGAAAAAGGAAGAAATGCAACATGCCCCTGAAATTGTCCTTCTTCTGCCAAAGAATCCATCTGGACCAGTTTACAGCTCTACCATAAAGGGATTTAAGCACTTTAATATAACATCATACAATATCTCTGACATTTCAAATGACACCATGACAAAGGTTTTGATAAAACATTTTTTCTCCCAAAACAAGGAAGCCTACCACGGATTCTCTCATTTTCTCAGGAAGTGGATCAACTCGTGGCTCTTCAAAATGCTGCTTTACAAGGTGCGGAAAATATTTACAATGAATAAGAGACCTAATTTACAGAACAAATGAAAATCAGTTAGAACACCAATCTCCTGAAAAGAGAACAATTCTAGATAGTAGACAGTGATTTTTTTCCTCCTAGCTTATTTAAGTAACAATTTACCAGCTCAGGAATGGGTACCAGCCACTTAATAGATCTCTTGGATCTGGAAATGAAGGAACAGGCTCTGATCCCACCCTTGTAACTCCAAATGGCTGTAGGTTCATAGGTCTCCACCCCATATTTGGAAAGCCTTCATCATTAATTTTTGGATGGGGTATTGTTCTTCTGGACCTACTTCTTTGCCGCACGAAGAACATTCAGAAACTTCAGCTGATCCAGAACGTTAACAGTATGAAGAGTTTTGGATGCACAATGGGATATTCATATAACATCACTGCTTCATAAGCAATGCAGACCACAGTAAGCAATGGCTTTCAGTAGGTTTCTGGCTGCAATTCAAGGTCCTGGATAGCATCAATAAAGCTGTGCATAGCATGGAGCCAGGATTCTTGAGAGAACACCAGTCTCTTGTAGTTTCTGCCCATCTCATTATAGTCATATAGGCCTGCTTTAGATTCATTCTGTGAAAGAATATCATCTTTGAAGGTATGCTTTTCTATAGAACGGCTTTCTCCCTGACGTTTGACAGGGCCCTGACCCTTATTGGCCTTTCCTGTTTCTTTTATAGGTATGCATCTACATATAAGGCTGTGGTGCTCATCTCTGTTTCAAAGCCGAAGAACCAGCACTGTCCGAAGACATCTCCATGATCATGTAGCCAGCATGACTAAATGCCGAAGGCACATAGAACACTGTTACCAAAGGTGGTTCCTATTTTTCTACTTGTGTTTTTACATGTTTTTGAACTGCTAGGTTGGCAGAAGCTGAGACAAGTAACAGGAGCTCACTCCGTTATGCGGTGCTAGGTGAATCGAACTGCCAAACAGCCGACTTTTCTGATCGACAAGCTCAGCATCTTAGTCATTAAGCCACCACACACATATATAAATATTAGGAGGAGGAATACATAAATATTAGGATTAGGATGAGAAAGGTGTGTCAGATGTGTTCTCCACAATCAGTTATTTGTAAAAATAAACAAAGGCAGGATACAAATAAATTTAAAAATATATTCTCTTTTATATGTATGTTTCCTGTCCTATGTATCTTTCTTTTATAGGTATGTTCTCTTTTTATGTTTATTATATGCTCCAAGTCATTTGATTAAGATGGGCAACCAAATAAATTTGTATAACAAATCAAACTACCTTATTACATAGTTCTATAGTTCAAGCCACACGAAGGCATCGGTGATAACTTACACTAAGACAGATGGATCACTGCTCTGCCTGCTCAAATGATAAGAAAGTGCCACTAAAAGCCCACAAAAGGCAGAGAACAGTGCGGGAATATGTTGAGCATCCCATGGTTCCTATAGATAAAGAGGAGACAGAGATGGAAGGAATAAGGATGTCTTCACATTGTTTACAAGTTTACAAGTTACTACAGCAATAAGTTAAATATTGTTAACATGCTGGAATTCACCATAATTAAATGGCTGCATAATATATTAAATAAACTGTATTACATTTCATCAGGCTAATGAAGTGGTGATATTTCAAACATGGTATCTAATTATGCAAGCCACAATGCTCTTAAAGTTGGCAATTAAGTAAAAGAAGCAAGGAAAATCATGAGAGGCCATTTTTCTCCTTACATACATTTTTAAATTACATAAACTATGTTTAAATAAATAAATAAATTGAAACAGCATTAATTTTTAAATTACATAAATATAATTTTAAATGAAAAAGCACTTTTCCTTGCTCTTAAAAAAACATAGTTATGAATACATCTGAAAGTGCAAAATAAAAATTCATAGGTTGAATTTAAGTCTGAATTTGCAAGGAACATATTCTTGTTCTAGAACAAAATAACTGTATAGAAAGTGATGGGAAAAATAAAAAAAACCCAATTTCTTCTTTCAGCACCTATTATTTCAGAAAGTTGAGCATTAATTAATATCTCATTAGTCAACTAATGAGCAATATAAAAGTAGGTTCTCTCCAAACTTCTTATCTCTGATTTAAAAACACAACTTATTCCTGGGCAACATTTCAGCTTGTTTACTTGGCCACCTTTAAAACTATTCGATTTTACATTTCATGGAGAGAGAGGTAGACGCTATTTTGAATTGGAAATGTTATCATTCTATCTTCCTAAGTTATACTTTTTTGACATTTTCATTTTTTGATGACACCTGCATTAGATTTTAGCAAGAACAGACAATGTACTGCCTCAGGATGTTCTCACCTTCTAAAAAAACATTTTTATTTTGAAGCACTCTGACTACTCAACAAAATTCAACAGTTTAATTGTTAAAATCCAGCAGAGTAATTTAATGTCACTTCAGAGGAGAAAATACATAGAACTTTAGTGTATAAGTATTAAAAGCAGGATTTTTATGGTTGAAGAAAAATCAAAGTTCCACAGCCCCCAAAAAACAACAAATACTGGTAAAATGTTAGCTTTCCTATTTTGTAGAAGGTAACCATACTTCACAGGCATTCCACTCCCTGCCCCTGAAGATCCCATAGCAGCTAAGTTTGCCCATCACATTAATTCATAAACCATGATTTACAAACCAAAAGAGTTGAGTTCACATACTAACCCACAATATTGGTCTACATTAGTGTTTCTCAACCTTAGCAACTTTAAGACCAGTGGACTTCAACTTCCAGAATTCCATAGCAAGCTTGCTGGCTGAAGAACTCTGGGAATTGAAATCCATAGATATTAAAGTGGCCATGGTTCAAAAACACTGATCTCGAATGTGAATACATCTCTGGAAAGAAAACACATTTGTGTTCTTTCTTGTGTCTGAAAGGGATACAGACAGCTTCAGATGTCAGGTTTCCAAGCAACACTCCCAACGAACTAAGACTCCAAGACTTAAGTTTCTTCAAAGTTCCATTTATTAGACATGTCCATATTGGCACATCTGGGAAAACCCAAGTCTGAAAGTTTCCAAGTTTTCCCCATCCAAAAGAAAGTTCAAGTCCCTACCCAGCACCCACATGTCCATCACATGATCCTATGAAGCACCATCCAAAATTGGAGATGCCTCCCAGTCACCTAATTGCAGCTGCAGGGCAAGATGACCTTGACTTTCTGAGAAACAATGTTCTTTTGGCTATATATCACCCATATTCCATATAATCCCCCCTCCCATTTTCCCACAGTAGAAAATGTGGCAGGCCTAAATGTAAAAGATGGCTTCCAAGTCTGGCAATTAATCAGTTAATAGCAAGTAAATCCTGAATTACAACCATTTATCCATTCAACATTTAAAGTCATGCTTTAAAAAAATCAGGCAGACGTCTTATATAAAGAAGTATGTAAATGCAAACATTAGAGTACACTGGGGTCAGGATGTGAAACACATAGCACCATTTTGGAACAAATAATTATTCTGCTTACAGATACCTTCAAAAATGAAAAAGCAATAAAAATTCAAATTACATGTAATTTTCCTGCGTAAATGGAAGGTCTACAGTTGATATATGTAATTTGCAGCAAATATCTTGTAAATCTTTTACCGCATTTCTAACTTCAGGGTAGCAGCATTATAAGCATATTTCAAAGCTCCAGGAAGCCCAGGCTGTGGGCAAGATTGCTTATCTGCAAAACCACCTGCCTGCTGTAATTTAGCTTATTAGCCTGCAGAAAGATGTGCAAATGACAGGACATGTTTAAAAGGATTGCCCTTAATACTATTTACCAAAGAGACTTTGAACGTTCAATTAACCCACAGAGAACACCAACGATATAAATGAGTTTCCATTAAATTCACATTCTCCCATCAGTAATCCCATTAAAAAATCCCAGCTTTTCCCTCATTCCATTTTCCTTTCCCCTCATTTAAGAAGAAACCAAAGCCTAGCTTATAGACAGCAGAAGGGGCAACCTGTAGGGCTCCCACACTGATGATGTTTAGGATGATGATAATATTTATTTCAGCCTCCCCACATTAGATTGAGCAGAGAAGGCATTCTGTGGAGACCATCAGTTAGGTGGATCCCAGAATATGTGTCTTCTCCACTGTGGTGCCCACCTTATGGAACATTCTCCCCCTGCCCCCCATCCAATTATATTATCTCAGTCACTTTTGACATTCTGAAAGGCCGTCAAGACCTGGCTATGTCATCCGGACTGAGGTGCCCAGGGAACCAGAGATATAATCAGATGGCTCCATTGTTGAGGCGGCCATTTTTATCCTCTCTTCGCTTGGGCCTTGTATATATATTTTAAAATACTATCTACTACTTGAGGTAGAGTTTTACATTTTTATATATGCCATTTTAATATTTGTGGGTTTTATCCAAGGTTGCGCATCACCCAGAGTAAATTTTGGTGACATGGGCAGCTACACAAACTTGGTTGCCAAATAAAATAAGGAATATTTGAAAACTTGGCTTTTCCTCCCAAGCTTTGGATTATACCTCTTATAAAATTTTATCAGTCTGAAGGATTGCTTTATTTGGGTTTACATACTTCTTTTCTTGTTTTTATCATTACAGTATTAATATGTACTCCACCTAAAGTCTTATGTAGTTGGATATACCATCCATCCATCCATTCATCATCATATGGCAAACAAAAATATATAGTTGTTTTTTGCAGCTAAAATTATATTCATAACAAACCCTGCTATGCACATCCCCCCCACTCTCCAGGACAGACCTCCCCTTATGAGGATGGAAAAATAATGCAAATTAAATTTATATTCATACATATACAGATATGGGGGGAAAGAAGAAAACATACCATAATCACAAGCAATTGTAGCCTACTTTGCTATTAGAATCACTCCTCCTTACCTTAACTGCATTGAAGCAGAATGTGTACAGGACAATTACAGCAATAAAGCTTCGAGAAATACTGTAGAGTGAAGAGTACATTCCAGCAACAGCTGAAACACAGAAACCAAAATTTACATCTTTGCATCTGGATATAACTACTATAAGATAAATCAAAATGGTAAAAGTCCCCTGCCCATTATCAGAAAGGCCTTTTTGCCTGGATGTGTTAAAATAAATTAGGTCATTCAATCAGACAAATTACTGGACCCAGAAAGACAAGAACACTATCCTCAAAACACAAGTTAAGCAAAACCACAAATGCTACACTTGTGTTGAGACGCAGTAAAATAATACATAGTACCAGAGGAACTGGTTAACTTCAAGGATCCCTAGCTTGACAGCTGCCACGTGCTACAGAAAAATCAGCAAGCAGTAAGCGTATCCACCTACTCAATGTAATTGACTGCTGAATGCAAGAATCTTGGGAAAATAAAATACCATACTAAAGCAGAACATTTGGCCTAAATTGCAGATGTTCTTGATTTGAAATTACATTTTGAACTTGCCTCATGTATTTTGGAAAGTTTAAATTCCCACCAAATGCCATGAAGGTGGCCTCAAATATTTTGCAAAGGCCTCTCACTATTCGTGGGGGTCAGCATCACAACATCTGCAGTTATTACAGGCCGTCATTGCAATGATCACCACCTAATAGTGGGGGGAAATCCAGTTTCCTATTCACCACTGATACAATGTGTAGGAAAATCTAGCAACAAATGGCATCATGGTAGGCTTTTGCAGGAGATTGGAAAGGGATGGAGTATTGAAATACGCATCACAATGTAAGCGCCATCCTTGAATGCTTGAATATGACATTGCAACGCAAATACAAAGGGATGGCATTTGCAGATGTGATACCATTGTGCTACTGGAAGTTAGCCCCCATATCTCAGTTGCCCAATTGCCGTACTTCTTTATGTTCCAAGGAGCTTAAGGCCATCAATGACCACTAACCTACCTTATATTTTCTATCATTAGAAAGCAGTCTAGCTGCCAGCCCCATTGTTGCTGGGCAATGCAGTTTTCCTTATTTTAAATTCTAGTTCTGTGTATATGTTTTGAAAAGTTAATGTACATTTTGGAAGAACAATAGAGCCTCACGTATACATGAGGTACACTGCAGGGTCAATGAGGCTGCCAAAACACAACCCTTGGGTCATGCAACATCCTAAGACAGGAAAAAGTCCTGGGCTGAGATAACCATAATCATGCTTCAAAACTCACTGATGCTAGAATAAAAAAAAAGGGGAGGGGTTACTGTATACATTTAATAAGGATGAACTACTAGAGACATTGCAAATGATCAATTTCTAAAAGAAGCATGGCTCCAATAGTATTGCTACAGAACTGTTTACTGCACTCCAAATCATTTTTCCCAAGTAGCAGGCTAAAGTGAACCAATGTGAAAGATAAGGCCATTGACATGCTTTGAATAAGAGAAAATTTAGCAGAGGCAGATTCAGTCTGAAGTGAAAAGGAATCGCAACTATAAAAACTCTCATCTAAATTCAACCTAGTTCTGGGTATTACATATACCCATGATATAACTGTATAACCATATATAGTACTTACCAGAACCACCAAATACCAGTATATCTATCTGTTCAAGGATATATATACAGAATGTGTTGATTTGTGGGAAAAGACCAAGAAGAGAAATCACAGGAAAGCAGTATAAAAATCCTGAAATTAGACATGGAAAAAGAAGGGGTAGAGATAGGGAGGGAGAGAAAGGAAGAAAAAAGAGATTATAGAAACTTTTTATCAGTGGTTGTTATTACACTCCTCTCCTTCCTACTCTATGTAGGGAGAGAAAATTAACATAAATAAGTGATACCCTTTCTGCTTCATTTTTCAATGGCGATTGTTCTGACCTAGACTTTCCCAAACCATGACGCAGACTCCTTGTCCTGACAAAAAAACCTTTTTATTAAGTAACTGTTAATTGCTTATATTCACATCCAGCAGTCTTTCAAGGGTGAATATACAGTCACAGACCTTGGAGAGCTGCCAGACTCTGAGAGTCATGAACCAATTAAGCAAACTAATTGTCTCCTGCAAACTCCATTCCCCTTCACTCCTTTTTTATTCTCTATGGAAGGAGCCATTTATCATCCACCTGTGGCTTTACTCCAAAGTCGGCCCTTGCTCCTTAACTGTTCCCTTCGTCTGGCAACTCTGCACATGCGCACACTGGGAACAGGCTCCAGCTGTTCATCTGCCTCACTGATGTATGACTCTGAAGGCAGCTGATAACTGTCAGAGAGCACCATCTCTGCCTCCGATGTAGAGCCCTCATCAGCCCTTCTTCAGACTCATGTTCCTCCCCAACCTCCTCACTCTCTGAATCTGCTGCCAGCTCTGCTGGCTGCTGGCGAGCCACAACAGCGATATCACCACATTCCACTCAGAATGAGATTCTGAAGAGAAAGGACAGGGAGATTGGGCTCAGATAAAAGAAAAGTAAGATCTTCAATATTGGACAGAAATTCATATTTATTGACTCTGGATCTCATGAAATATTTTTCGTCGGAATGAATATCCATCTACCCTAGTTTTGTTCATCAACAGCAGAAAGACAGCTTGTACACAGAAAATATAATCATGTTCCTTGCTGCTTCTTGTATTTTTTTAAAAAAAATAACAATCCTTCATAATGGAGGGAGCATCTTCTTTTTCCTCCCCCTTTCCTTGGACAGCTTTTTCTTCCCGTCTCTCAGCTTCAAATGAAAACTGATCCTCCATCAGTCCTTTCCAGGTAGGGACTGTGGCTGAAACTCCCGTTCATGCATGGCAATACACCAATCACTATTCTTACCCCAGAAATTCAATCTGATCTTACTATTTGATGTATTAGCTATTTTGGGATCCTTGTCATGCTACAAGCAATAAATCAGTGTCTTTCAGAAGAAGCTGAAGCAGTTGATAAAAATGGAGAATTAAGAAATTAAAAGGACAGGAATCTAACCTTGAAGCAGGTAAGAAATTTTAACTGCTTGAGACAGAACAGCAAATGAAGAATTGGTGACTCGCCAAAAAATAATCATCATCATAAACTATTAAAGGTCAGGAAAGCCACAAAAAATTCTGCTTCTGCTTGAACTCATTTCTCTAGAGCATAAAGGAGCTTTAATAGCAGCTATTACACAATGCTTTTGTTTCAAATAACTTAATTGACTGTGGCAGTTTATTGCCCAGCTTCTAGACAGAGAACCTCACAATCTCTTAATCTTGATGCCCTTGATTTGATTGAGATAAAATATTACAAGCAGATAGAATTGCAACAGACTTGGCATATGGGGTAAAGAGATTTGTGCTCTGTTCAGATCTACCTTCCAAAGTGATACAGAAACGTAAAAAGTTTTGCCAAATACACCTCCTAGCCTGGCAACAAGATTACTTTTTATATCCTGTAATTTGTGGGTTTACCCTTGGATACTGGTGTCAGAAAATTTTGTGATGCAGAAATGACTGTTAATTATCTTAAATAACAGTTTTCAGATAGCTACTCCAGAAAAATCATAATCATCCACTAAGAAATCATTACTTTGATGGGCTGGTAAGCCTATTATTACATTTTTTCTTATTTTCTCTCCCCCGCTTCTATATTTGCAGGTTGAAAGACACAAATGGGTACTTAACAAAATAAGAATATTTGGAGAACTCTTTGTATTTTTGCAACTCACCTATTACATGGTCCCTGATCACCTGAAATGATTCAGGTGAGATCTTCAGGTCATAAACCGTATAGATGAAGGGATTTCTGGTTTTAGATCCTGCATCTAGTAATAGAATAAGGCCACACAATATGCTAAAATATATAGGCCGGCTGTATATTATCACCTGGTTGTGGCCCTGGAAAAGCAAGTTAACAGAAAAAATATTTAATATCAACATAAAATTTTCAATTCATGATTAACGCTGCACAAACTCAAGAAGTTTGAGTGCTTACATACACATCACATATCCCACAAATAAATGTTAGAAATGGATTTCATTTTAAAATCCAAATAAGCCTCTACATCAAGATTTTGATAACCATCTATACAATGCAGGTTACAGTAGAACACTGAACCTACACTCTGATCAGAATTCACCATTAAGTTTTAATCTTATTGGATTTGTAAGGTTGTTTAATCACCAAGTAATTCAAGACACTGTACAGAAGTAGAAAAATCAAATAGCAAGCAACCATCCAAGAAATATAAACATTAAAATAATCATCATTTATTCGTGGGTTCATAAAACCCCTTGGCCCAAGGTCTGCTAGATAACCAAATCTTAACTGCTAAGAATCACATATGTAGTGATAGAAAATAAAATTATCTCAATGCATCTGCACTTCCCCAAACTCTGGAGATTCTTGTGACATTATTATTAGCAGCTCTTTTTAAATAGCCTAGCAATGTCAGAAAATGTTGGCTGCTTGAGGGAAGTGTTGGAAATGGCCTAATTACCGGAAAGTTAAAAGGCCAATAAGGAAAAACTACTATGGTGTGAATTTTCTCCCGGGAGTCTCTGATGTCTGACACTATGAAATCTATTTGTATTATGAAATAGTTGCTCTGTTTTCCAAAATTCAGGAGATCTGCCTGTATTTAAAATTGTATGGCTCTCACATGATAAAGACAAACAAAACAAATTAAATACAGTTCTTCTATTATCTGAAAGCCTTTCTAACTAGACTTTAATGCTTAAGGCCATAAAAATGAGTAAAATCATTTCCTTTCAATTGTGTTTCCTTGCATTAGTGTCAGGTTACCCTTGTCAAAATCCCCTGACCAGGATTCAATTGTGAATTATAGGTCTGTTAACTCTGCATGGCTTAATTAGCTCCCCAATTCAGCTCAACAGAAGATTCACCAATATGTTTTGGCTAGATTAGAATGTTTTACTATTGACAAGAATGAAATCATACACCACAGTTCATTGCCTGCTACCAGTGAGAAGATTTAAATACCTTTTATACCCCACTAGGGGTTTAAAATTTAGGCTTATTTTTCCTGTCCTATTTTAATGGATTTTTGGCATGATGCTCAGCAGCTGTGAACCTCTGAGAATGTTAGATGTTTACATAACAGCTTTAACCTTCACACTGCTAGTTCTGATGAAATTATGTGAAATATGAAATTCAGTAAAACATCTGTCATGCCTACTTTAATAAAGATGTAAAAGAAAATAGATTACATATGTACTGTAGATGTAAATTGACCTACCACTAACCATTCTGATCAGTGATGGGTTGTCAATTTTGTTTACTACCGGTTCGGGCATGCTTGCGTGCTCGCTCGTGTGCAACACTTCTGCGCATGGGCAGAAGCGTCCGCATGGGTGGGTGGAGCTTCCCGCCGCCACTATTACTGGTTCGCTCAATGCAGGCCAAACCGGGAGCAATCCACCTCTGATTCTGATGCTTTTAACCTTTTCCCACAAATCCAAGGCAAGACTGATGTTAACTATCTACAAAGTATTAAATGCCTTTGCCAAACTTTAGTCTAGAAATGAAGAAGAACTTTAGCCTAGAAATGAAGAAGTAGAGTGAAGTACAAATTAAATTTTAGAGAGCAACCTTTCAAATAGGGCATAATAGTCCAATCTATTCAGATTTCAAAACCCATTTTCTCCTATAAAATATTTGGGGAAGGAGGATCTTGGTAACCAAGATCTCTCCTTAGCTAGTTCAAACCTGGCTGAAATTTGGCATGGCATGGCATGCCTAACACAAGAACTTAATTTTACCCAAGGACTGGAATTATTTTAAATCATTTATTGCCTTCTAAAATTAAGAGTACTGCCCATATACTAAAGCCTTTGAGACTTAAACTCAGTGTCTTTTTCATAGTTTAACAGAAATTCTGCTTTATAATTCTTGTGTTCTGTGAGCTAGATGGTAATTGGGTTTTGACATTTTCAATATTCCTGCCCTGGGAAATTATAGCTCTCAATATATCTCCAACTGAAATCTATTTCTGCTTATAGTCTGCCACTGTTCATTATGGAACTGATCCAATTTTATAAGTATTGTGCTTTTGTTGAAGCAAACTAGCCTAAGAACATACTGTGAGCTGAAATGCAAGATGTAAATAATAAATCATAGAGCAATATAATCAGTAACAGAAGAACAATGCAAATATATTTGCATAAAAAATAAAACAGCAGCATTCATACCATGGCATAAATTATATCATAACTATTGGGACTATGCAACCTGAATACTACTGAAGCCTAAACTTGTATCTTCCTGTGGATTCAAATTTTGCAGTATTGCTAATTAATGCAATACTGCATTATGTTTTAGGTAAAGGATGAGAAAAGACATGATTTAATAGACAGGCATATGTAGATTGAGTCCTCCAGCACTCTGCAGTCTGACTCAATATAAAACAAATGTATACTTTAATAATCACAAAATATTATATTTTAAAACTGAGGATTCAGATAGATGTATTCTAGTATCGCTGTATTTCAGGAGAAATGAGATTGTGGCACTATAAGAAACATGACCAATGAAAAGATCATTGTATTATTAATGTCTAAAAGATGAGATGGGGAAAAGTAATGAAAATGTAGGTAATATTTAAATCTACAGTCCTGAAACAATTTCTGTATTAAATATAAAATTGATTGGTCTGGTAATTGTTTTATGATTACGTACATGTATATAGAAAAGAATAGAATTCTTTATTGGCCAAGTGTGATTAGACACACAAGGAATTTGTCTCCGGTGCATAAGCTCTCAGTGTACATGCAAGCAACAAATGATACATCATGATCATAATCACAAAATACAATCATCATAAATCATAAGATACAACACTCAGTGATAGTCATAAAATACTAAATAAAAGCAATCAACATAAATCATAAGATTCAAACAATAAAGTGATAGTCATAAGATGCTAAATAGATAAAAAGAAAGAAGAGAAGGATAATAGTAATACAGCCCTACTGAATGGTTTGATAGCCTAGGCTAGGGCATAAGACATTGTTGTGGAAGTTAGTTGTTTAGCAGAATGATGACATGGGGGGGGGGAATTGTCATTGTGTCTAGTTGTTTTGGTGTGCAATGACATATAAAGTTTATATACATTGGTACACATTTTAGATTATGTTGCGTAAATTTATATAATTTTATAAGCCATGTATATATGTATACATTAGAAAAATCAACTAACTTACAGAATAAATATTTAAGTTAAAGGCCACTAATATCACACAATTATTTTTACCTCAGTACATTAACAGTGCAGCAAAGACTTTTTACATTTCTAGAAGCCTGCGTAACGGGCAGCAAAAGAGTGTGTGGTAATGTGTGATGTACTGTATGTGGTAATAATCTGAGAAAGTAACTGAAGCCATTATGCCAAAGACCAGCTGCCTCGTTGTTTCACTCACAACAACAGCCTGTGCAAGGAGAGCATTCATTAAAATGCTATGCATGGCTCTGCTGCTTACTTCATGGCAGCAAGGTGTTTGAGCAGATTAATTTTTAATAATAAAGTGTTAGGTTTCAAGATGGAAAAATGAATAAAATCCTGGAAAGATGGATTGATTTCACCTTTCAACAATTCACTACACCAACTGACCAAGAGGGAGCACAAAAATAAAAGGATATATCTGGTAACTGTTAAACTTACATGTATAGGTGAGGCAGGGTCAGGCTGAACACTCTGAAGACAAAACAAGATTCATTATGTTAGATTGGTAGATTTGGTAGATTTATTATAATTTATAGGCCGCCCTTTTCCCTGAGGGGACTCAGGGCGGCTTACAAAAACACGGGGAAGGGGGTACAAAGACAAAAAGCATAAGACAATACATTATCCTGGATTTTTGCTATATT